GATAAAACAGTCAAATAATAATTAAAAGACTCTCATAACTGTGAAATACAGTAAAATTATTTTTTAAATGTGTTAATCAGTGTTTAATTGTGACATAAAAACAATGATGGCAAATTCATGACATTAGTTATGAAGCAATCCTTTAATTACAAGATAAAAGTCTAAGGAAACCATTCAAAATAAATGTCAATTATGAAGTTGAAAGTCAAAATTGTTAGCACTGTCGCCTCACAGCAAGAAGGTCAATCAATGGTTTGGGTCCCAGCTGGGTGAGTTGGCATTTTTGTGTGGAGTTTGCATGTTCTCCTCATGTTGGTGTGGGTTTCCAAAGACATGCACTATAGGTGAATTGAATAAACTAAAACTGGACGTGGAGTGTATGTTTGAATGCAAGAGTCTACGGGTGTTTCCCAGAACTGGGTTGTTTTGGAAGGGCATCTGCTGTGTAAAACATATGCCAGAATAGTTGGCAGTTCATTCCGCTGTGGCAACCCCTGATAAATAAGAGACTAAGCTAAAGCAAAAGGAATGAATGAAATTTTGGCAAAACTAGTCATGAGACCAATTATTTGTAATTATGACACAAAAGTCTGACTCAAACTAAGTGTAAAAATGTAATTAAAGTCGAATCAAATAAAGTTTACTAGGTGCTCTAGCTCAATTATGTGTTAAATATTGTATTTTACCTTGCTGTTTGGTAGAGCTATAGGTCACAATTTTTTTGATGATCCGTTTGTTCAATTTAAGTTACATTGCATCTACATGCCAACTAATTCTCAGTAGATTATAAGTAGACTGTTAGGTTGGGGTTAGGATTAGGGTTAGTGTAAATTGTACAATGTACCATGTACAAAGTTTCTTATAGTCAGTTGAATGTCTGTTAAAGGAGCAGTATCAACAGATATTAAGCAGACAGGCATACTCAAATGGACCGTCAAAATGAAGTGTTATCGAGCTATATAATGAAAATAGCAAAAGTAAATAGTAAAAGTAAAAAGTTTCCTTTAAGGGGTTAATAATATTAACCCTAAAATGGTTTGAAAAAAATAAAAACTACTGTTATTCTTGCCAAAATAAAGCAAATAAGACTTTCTCCTGAAGAAAAAATCTAATGATTTATAATTGAATATATTAAGCAAAATTAAGTAAATAATAATAAAGAAAAAATAATAGGGCTAATCATTTTGACTTCAACTGTATGTAAGAAATATTCATAGACGCGGGCCGTAGGTTGATTTCCCTCTTGTTCACCAGCATCAGGTACTTTACATTTTCACAATATAAAAAGCTAGCATACCAGCATCATTGACGAGTTTACTGTCAAAGTGATGTGTTTTTTTTAGCTGTTGATCTTATCCATACATTGAGTGCATAGAGACCGCTGGACACACACACACTTCCCCACACACACAACTCTCATTGGACTAAACTGTGTTTCCTTGAATTAACTCTTTACATGTTGTTTACCTTTGCATAGCCAGAGAGCCAATGATTGTATGATGATGATATAAAAATATTTCAATAAGTACTCAGTTGGTGAATTTTTGTATATTTTTTGTTGTATTTTTGTTTGTTATGTTTAATATAGTTGTTGTCAGTGGCTTATTGCTATCTGGGCTAAATTATATTTGTAATATTGACGGGTTTATTCCGTCTGGCACCCGAACAAAAAGTAAAATAGTACCTACTTGAAATTTAAGGCAGGGCCACCGATACTATCATCTTTGCATCAAATTACAAAAAAGGAATTACCGCTTGTGCAAGGCATTTGTAATGCAGCGTCTATGGGACAAGACAACGCAAACTCACGGCAATTCGTAACTTTTTGATTTAGTGGCTAATTCGTATGAATATGTACGATCTAATTCGTACAATTTAGTCTGATTTTCTCATCACCCAATGACGGTTGGGTTTAGGGGTGGGGTTAAGTGCCACGCCTCCTTTTTAAAATCATACATTTTGTACTATTGAACTCGTACGAATTAGCCACTAAACTGACATAAGTAAAATATTTACATTCCCTCATGAGATCGGGCTGGAAAAGACAGTAAATTTAACATTATTCTGTCTACCTGCTGCCATTATCAGTCTCACCCCATTTTTTTCATTTTTCTGAAAGTCTTCACCATCATCGAGTTTTTCTGTCATTATTTCAGCAAGTAGGATTATAAAAAAAAGATTTGTGGTACTCTCCCATTCACTGTGCTCTAAGTTTACCCAGCTATGACGACTTCCGCTTTCACGAAACCCAGAAATGTAAAAAGGGTTTGTTGTGTTGTCAGTAAAAGGCGTTGATTGGCCAGTAAAGTGTAGCTGTTGCGTGATGAGCGCTCATGGATTGAACGCATTGATATTCAGGCCACGACTCCCTCTGGTTTTAATGAGAGTGCTTAAGGGCAAGGCAGAGCTAGCATGCCAGCTGCCGGTATTAGATCGCTCAAGCCTAATGAGATAAATACAGTCATTAGTGTGTGTGTGTGTGTGGGGCTGGGAAATGGAGGACTATTGAGGCTCAAACACACAGGAGATCCAGCCGGACCCTTGAGCTGCTTGTGGGCTGATGTTTGGATCATTCAGTCACGCCTTATCTTCAGCAAACATGCGTGTACGTTGTGTCGGAAACAAACTGAAGCCTCTGGTCATATCTGTGTCAAATTAAAAAGAAATCTCGGGTGAGCTTGTGGTTCTTCCTCACTGGAGTGTGTGTCCGTTTGTGGAAAATGTAATTGAATTCTCGGTCGCTAATAGAGGTTGCGTTGTTGTCCTTGTTTTTTAAGTGAATGAGTTTCTGTTTAAATGTGGAGAATTATTCAAGTCATTTTATATATCAAAAGATAGATATTGATTATATTTGCTGTATTTATAATATCAAGGGCCCTATCATACACCCAGCGCGACAAGGCGCACAATGTGTTTGGCGTGATTTGTTGCTATTTTCAGATCAACGCAACTGTAATTTTGACGTTTTGCACCACGTTGTTTAAATAGCAAGTCTATTTGCACCAATTTGTGGACTAATGGGTATGCTCAGCTTGATCTCATGAGAAAACGTAAATATTTTACGTTTTGTCAGTTTAGTAGCGAATTCGTACGAATTCGTACAAGTTCAGTTGTACGAAATTGTACGATTTTAAAAAAGGCGTGGCACCTAACCCCACCCCTAAACCCAACCGTCATTGGGGGATGAGCAAATCGTACTAAATTGTACGAATTAGATCGCACGAATTCATACGAATTGGCCACTAAATCAAAAAGTTACGAATTGCCGTGAGATTGTGTTGGTATGCCGATCTGAAAAGGACACATGAAACATATGAAATGAAAAATTTAAGGATTAAAATGTTACAAAGTTATTGTTTTCCACTTAAATATAAAAACCACTGCCTACATGACTTCAGACTTTCAGTTTATTCATGACAATTTCCCCTATTATAAGCAAAAGATTAAAAGTAAAGAGTAAAGTGAAGCTAGTGAAGCGTTCAGCTTTTCCACTTACAAAGTCTGCCATGTAAATAGTAAATGCACCATGGCGTGGCACAACTGACTTTTAAAGGGAACGTGAGATGAGACTCTGATTGGTTTAATGCATGTCATGCTCAAAATACACCCATCACTCGTTAAGAGAGGTAAAATAGCAAAAGTGGATTCAGACATAGGCTTAGATTGTAAAAATAGAGCCCTAAATTATTAATATCAATATTAATGATATTTGAGTTTATTAAGTGTAAATAATGTTAAACTTATATGCTGTTAGTAAAAAGTGTAGTTTTTTTTTAAGTTTGAAAAGTTTCTAGCATGCTTTTTCAATATAATGAGTTATTTTATTTTGTTTATTTTAAATAGAATAACACAAATGCAAAGGTAAAAAAAATACTAATTTCTGGATCTCCCTCCAGGTGCAGCTATGCTGTTGTTGTAGCTAGTGTATACTGTAAAATCTTTTGTACCCCTTGGTTTTGAGTCTGGTCCTGAAAAATCTGTTTCAAGGGCTACCCAGCCCTTCCTCTTAGCCCTACACCTTCAAGCTAAAGAGAGTTGGGACACCAGGGAAAGGGCTAAGTGGTGGAATTTGTTTTGAGCCTAATAATGTGTGAATTATAAATAAATGTTTATTAATTTTTATTTATTTTATTTTTATTATGACAAGGTTATGTTATACTTTATTATTTTATTGTTCTTTATATTACTTTGTAAACATATTTATTTATTAATGTACAATTGTTTCCAGGTTGCTTAAATTTACTTATCACACCCATATGTGAAATGATTCAGCTTGGTCAGTTACTGTTATCACCACTTTATATTAGTGTATAAATAACTCAGTTACTTGGTTTAAGGTTGTTAAATAATAATAATAATAATAATTAAATAATGGTTTATTATTTATTGAAAAAAAAACTTACTCTAGTACTCTAAGCACCATCTGTTCCTTCCAATAACTGCTGTGGCACTTCTTGTGTGTATTGCCTCTTGTTGAATTGCTGAATGCCACCTCAATGGTGTATATGCTGAAGTATGTGGAAGGACTTTTAATTTGTCAGTAACAGCTTTATGTCTTGTTTTACGCTTGATCAACTAAATGAATGCCAAAGTCTATTTAACTGATTGTATTTTTATGACATTACAGCATCGATGCTGTAATGGGAACCAAATGAAATGGAAAAAAAAGTCACATTAATCCTTCACCGGAAGTTTATCAGTAGGGGAAGAAACACTAGCTCCGCATATACCCTATGTTAAGTCATTTTGGTCAAAAGCGTCTGCTAAATGTAAATGTAAAGTCCTTGTGCTTACAGCTAACCAGCTCTCTGTGAGTTTAGTGTAGATTGGCCTGTTAGTGAACCAGAAGCTGCTTCTCTTTAAACCTGACACTGATGTTTCATTACCGCCTTACTGTCCTGAGCCAGCATCATCATCATCTCACACTCTCTCTCTCTCTCTCATTATTATCTTTATTTTTCACATAACCCTGTCCTCTTCTGTCTTTATCTATCTGTCAGCATGGAGACCTCACCTGACCTCAGATCAGTGCAAAAGAATATGTGAGTTTCTGACGGTTTGGCGTGGAGATGGGCTAAAAAAAAATTACTGCAGGGCGTTTGGACGTGATACTGCTTGGTTTTGCAGGAGTGTGTGTGTATGTGTGTTGTGTTTGAGTGTGTGTGTTTGCAGGCTGGTACATGGGGAACCAATCATTAGAGTTTCTAGAGCAAATTCTGCTTTGGTACATGGAAGTGCAGGGATCTACAGAGTCACTGGTTATGAAACCCTAACACATCTTCCTGTTTTCTGTTCTTTCTTTCTCTCCTCGCTTTCTACTGAAATCCTCATCTAGGTTTGGGAGGAAAAACAAAGAGGACAAGACCAAATCCAAGGCTAAACAGATGGTTGCTGTGAGCGAAGAGGAGGTGGACAAGAGTGAACCAGAGTTGTTTCTGTCCAAGTATGTTTTATTTTAAAGCCACAGTTCACCCAAAAAATTATATATCATGTATGCCAGTTGTTGCTGCTACTGTAGCCCATCTGCCTCAAGGTCGGATGTGTTGTGTGTTCAGAGATGCTCTTCAGCAGACCTCTGTTGTTAACCAGTGGTTATTTGAGTTACTGTTGCCTTTCAGCTCGAACCAGTCTGACCATTCTTCTTTGACCCCTGCCATCAACAAGGCATTTGCTCCCACTGAACTGCCACTCACTGGATATTTTCTCTTTCTTGAACCATTCTCTGTAAACCCTAGAGATGGTTGTGCATGAAAATCTTAGTAGTTCAGCAGTTTCTGAAATACTCAGACCAGCCCGTTTGACACACATGCCACAGTCACTTAAGTCACCTTTGTTCCCCATTCTAATGCTCTGATTGAACTGCAGCAGATCGTCTTGACCATGTCTACATGCCTAAATGCATTGAGTTGCTGCCATGTGATTGGCCGATTAGAAATTTGCGTTAAGGAGCAGTTGGGCAGGTGTACCTAATAAAGTGGCCGGTGAGTGTATATGGACTAAATGTAAGCAAACAAATTAAGTTGAACATTACTACATTTATTTTGTTTAAATTTAGTCCATATAAATTGTTTGCAACCACTTACCTTAAGAAGTAAATCCAATGAATCATATTTTTATTTCAGTATGGAGCAGTTATGGGTTGCATATTATTATTTGTTTCACAAATTTCAGTTATGAAATGGTGGAAAGTGCTAATTTGCCAAATTGATGTTGTTTAAATGATTAAACTAGTTCCAGTTGCCTCACTGGTTTAATTAGCTGTTCTCTTCCTACAGTAATTAAAGAGTCAAGACTAATGAACTAATAAAAGGAAACATTAAAACTCAATCAGCTATGTTTACTTGAGTGTTTTTGGATGTTCTAACCTTTTAGCGCTGCCTCAGATCAATCTGACTCTATTACTGCAACTTAATGTCAGTTTTAACTTGGTCATTTGTATTGCTGTCTCTCTTACTGATCTGCACTGCAAAAAAATGCTCTTCTTACTTTGATTTTTGTCTAGTTTTGAGTCTAAATATCTCACAATTCTTAAATCAAGAAGAATTTTCTACACAAGCAAAACATATTGCCTTGTTTTCAGCAAACAAGCAAAATAAGCTGCCAATGGGGTAAGCAAAATAATCTTGTTTTTCCTTTTGACATAAGATTATTTTGCTTACCCCATTGGCAGATTATTTTGCTTGTTTTAAGTAAAAACTTACTTCATTTTGGCACATTATTGCTGAAAACAAGACAATTTAAATTAGCACTTTCCACCATAACTGAAATTTAAGAAAAGCTTTTTTTGCAGTGTGGAATCTTTTTGGCTCGAGACTTACAGTTTCATTCACTTATATTGATAATTAGATGTTTAAAACTTTACAAAAAAATTTACAAAAACTGTAAAATAACCAGTATTGTAAATAGTATAACTAGTAATGATGTATTGTGTGACCAAAGGTGAATTTACTGCATAGCCTAATTTAATAAAGGTCATTTCCAACATCCTTCAAAAGTCCTGAATAACATTGTTATTTGTGCAGGAGTGAAAGGAACAGTCCTGCTCCTGAGCGTGTGATCTTCCCAGACGTTGAAGATGATGATCTGGATCCAAACTACGCTCGCATTAACAATTTCAGAAATCCACCTGCCTCTAGCCAATCCCCTTTGCCACCTGGAGCTCCAACCAATAACTACGCTCAGCCTGCTGTGCCCGCCCCCAGCAGAGAGCCGCCCAATGAGGACGCACTAGAGGGGCTTTATGCAAAAGTGAACAAGCAAAGAACCGCCCCTCCAAAGACTGAAAG